GCCCTGTACCCACGTGGGAGACCAGGAAGACGCTCCTGGCTTCAGAGAAGCTTAGCTCTGGCGTTACAGCCGTGTGGGGAGTGAACCAGCAGATGGAATATCTCTCTCTCTCTCTCTACCTCTCTCTGTAACTCTTTCAAATAAATTAAATAAATCTTAAAAAAATAAAAAGGCTACTATGTGAAGCTGCTGCCTGGCCCTGTGCTCTCTCCCAATGATCTTGAAGAAAGCAACTTGGATATGGTGAACCAAGAGAATTCTACTCCCAGACCAGAGTTGCCCTTCAACTTAGGTCCGACTGTAATACTTTCAGTGAACATAAAGTCCAGGTGTTCTATCACCTATTTAGATGTCCACTTTGTGAGCAGCAACCTAAAACCACATCCCCACTACTGGAAAGCAGATGACCCAGATTCTAGTCCCAGGTAACAGTCTCAACCGTGCTTCTCATCACATAAATGAGTAGCTTGCAACAAGAAATGTTTAAAGTTCCTTTGAGCTACAACGTTTGGACTCATAATTCAAATTGTTCCCATTTCCTATTCTAGGTCAGATGAGAGAACATTAGATATAGATACAGATTCCAAAACAGTGACAGTGACAATCTCTCCATAAAAGCCTATCGTATGACGTGGCATCGTATCAAATGAAATTGGCACTTCCTCATGTTTCACCTGCTACTAAAGCGTACTATTTGTACTTCAGTCGGCAGTGTGGTCAAAGAACAGCTTTTCTGGTACTTTCTGGACATGCTGCTTAAGAAGAATATGGGGAAATCCCTAGGAAAACATGGCCAATGACACCTGTCAATGATTAGCAACTTAACAACACATGTTATTAAAAACAAACACAGCCTCTCATCCATGAGTTCTACCTCATAAACTGAGTCTTTGATTCATTTAGTCCCCATATGTGTAGCTCCACAGTAATTTTGCTGCAGAATAATAAACATACCTAGATCACTAAAATTCACAGAAAATCCCAAAATCTTCTGTTAGCCAATTGTTTGATTTCTTCCACTGCTAAGTTTTTGGCCAGAGATGCTACCAAGTCTTGCCATCAACCAGCTTGAGTTTCATATGCTTCTCTAGACACACTTGCTTTTGAATTGCACAAACAAGACAGGTGTTTCTGTTGAGTCTAAGTCTTCTGGAAGGTTCACCAACATGTGTGGAATCTCTCTCTCTACTCTGTTATCACGTTCCTTTAAATAAGGTGTGATTTGGAGTTCTTTTGTCCCTGACTTAAATCTACCAATTCTTTACCTACTTGAGTAATTCCCAATTCTCTTTGTTTTACAATTCTGTGCTATACTTCTCTGAGCATGGTTTTGATGATTAGTTTTTTGTATTCTTTACTGCATTACATTTTGCTTCCCTGGGAATTCAACTCATATACAACGTTTGTCAATTCATTAGGAGAAAAAGCAAAAGCAAAGATGATTCCCTTCAAAACAGGCAGTGAAGAGAAAAGACAAAAAGCTTGACATTTTTACAAGCAATTAGTATGAACTGACATGAAATCTTCAACTAGATGCAAAGACCCTGCAACTGAGAGAATCCAGACTCCTTTCTTAAAGATAAGAGAACCCAAAACCACAGATTCTACAGGAACTGGCATAGAGTGCTAACATTTATTATGGTTTCAGACATAAAATTGTATATTCTCACCAGAGATGGCTCTTTTCACAGTACAGTTCACTAGCTAAGTCTGTTCCCACAACCTATGCTGGCAGTCACAGTAGCAAAATCTCCTATCTGGAGTCAAAACATCTTGCGGCAGGCATTTTGGTGCAATGGTTAAGAGATCTCTAAGGGCACCCACGTCCCATGTCCGAGTGCCTTGGGCTTGAGTCAGCTCTGCTTCCAATTCCAGCTTCCTGCTAATGCATACCCCGGGAGGCAGCAGATAACACTTCAAGCACTTAGGTCTCTGCCACCCATGTGGGAGTCCTAAATTGAGTACAGGGCCCTAGTTTCTTGTCCTGACTCAGCCCTAGTTACTGGCAGGGGACTTGGGGTGTGAACTGCTGGATAGGAGGTTTCTTTTCTTTTTTTTTTTTTCCTCCCTCTGTCTCAAGTAAGTCAGTAAATAATTTTTTAAATTATCCCAGAAATTCCGAGATAAAAGTAATCAATATCAAGAAAGTGGAAGAGACCAAAAAAAGGGCAATACTCCATCACATCAGGTTCTAAGTTGGAAGGTAAAAAACTTCCATATATCCAAGTGCCTCCTGAACTCCCCCATACACTTAAATCACCCAGGAGTTTGATATTCACAGTGTGGCTTTATTTACGTGTCTGAATGAATCAAACACAGAAGTCAGGTCTTCCTTCTGCAACAGAACAGTCCACTTTCTTCTGTTTATCATCAGATGAACTAGCCAGCTGGGATTAAGACTAGATTGTTCCGAGCCGGCGCCACGGCTCACTAGGCTAATCCTCTGCCTTGCGGCGCCGGCACACCGGGTTCTAGTCCCGGTTGGGGCTCCGGATTCTGTCCCGGTTGCCCCTCTTCCAGGCCAGCTCTCTGCTGTGGCCAGGGAGTGCAATGGAGGATGGCCCAAGTGCTTGGGCCCTGCACCCCATGGGAGACCAGGAAAAGCACCTGGCTCCTGCCATCGGATCAGCTCAGTGCACGGGCCACAGGCCACAGTGTGCCGGTCGCGGCGGCCATTGGAGGGTAAACCAACGGCAAAGGAAGACCTTTCTCTCTGTCTCTTTCACTGTCCACTCTGCCTGTCAAAAAAAAAGGAAGTAACACACACACAACTAAATTGTTCCAAAAACACTTGTCTTTGAGTACTGAACCAGAGCTCCACAAGGGTTAGATCCCCACCCTCAAAGACACAGGATATGAAACAGCCAGTTTCCCTCCCATGCTATCCTTACAAAGTGGCCCACTCCCATTGCCTAGGATATCTGGCTTCAAGCAGTGCCTCACTGTCATTTCTCTCCAACTCCCTGCTTGACTTTGCCTAGAAGTACAGGTGAACTTGTGCCACTTAAAGTGCATAGGACCCTACTAGTAGCCTATTTCCATATTTGCCTAAGGATAGTTTACCTGTCGATGGTTTCCCATATTTGCCTATATATGGAGGTGGGACACTGGATGTATAAGTACTAGGGAAGAGCTGACATCTGCACACAGGGCGGGACAGGTACAATGAACAGCAGGAAAGCTGCCTAAGGACTCTTGGGTGTGTGCAGGGGAGGAGGCCTTAAGGGAATAGGGAGAAGGTCACTTTTTGTGCATCAGAATTAATTCCAAAAAAACATTTCTATCATGTTTCGTTGCATTGGGTAGGCACCTTGCAACACAGCCCATTTAACTGATTAGTAATCAATGTAACTCTCAAGGATACAAGTAACCACACACCTACAGAATTCATACCCTGGAAGAAATTAATCACAAGAATGTTTTCCAAACAGAGACTTAGAGCAGAGATAACCACACCAGCATTAGGAAGTGCATTCTGCCTGTCAGCACTCCAGGCAGCAGAAAACCAGACTGCCATCCCTGGAAGAAGTACCACACAAGAGCCCTGTAGAAACACTGCACGAAGAAATGATGACTGTGAACCAGAGTGCTGCCTTAGAACGAAAGGCTTCAGGTTGCACCGGACTCGACAGAGAAAGGTTATCATCAGTAGGAGATTCACCTGGTTCTAAGAAAAGGCCTTCTCTGCTCAGTTAACTTCCATATCAAGTTCCTGTAAGTGTAGATTATCCTAATTCCAAGCAGGTAAAGGAATCGGGGTTCCCTGAACAATATTTAGCTTCACTCCACCTTCAGGTCAGCCTGCAGGAAGACTGAATCCCAGAGACTGCACGTTGTGCTTGCCAGGCCGTGATGAGCAGGTCGGGTCGCGGCAGCGCCTACTCCCACTTGGCACATCCAGGATTCCCCACCAGGTCCTCCCCCAGGACGCCGGGCATTTTCACAACTTGACCACACAAAAGAACTCACAGGCTGCTCCTGCCTTTCCCCAGGCAAGTACAGCAATGGTTCTCTCAACAGCTCTTTCGTAAGCCAGTATACAGACAAACACAGGTGTCTAGAGAAAATCTTCCTGAACTTTGCACTGGATATGCCAAAGCAGAGCAGTGATCTCAACGCTCCACCCATTGTCTGAATCAGGAAAGTGATATCTTAGGGACCACAAAAGAACCCGGGCCAAACAATCAACATACATGTTTATTAAGCACTTCGGCAGCAAAATTAAAACACTTGTACTGGAGACAAAACACATTTTTTTTTTTAAATCACAAGGCACAGAAAGAATGCATCAGCAACCTTAACTGGGTTTCCTTCATTAGCTGACGATGTAAATAGATTGAAACTACTACTCGGATATCCAAACCTTCATTTTCCTTGCTGGAGGCTTCTAGCAAATGATAGAGCACGATTCCCACGAGTGTGGAAGATGGCACTGAATCCCGGCCGTTGTAAAGGAGGAGTCAGATTCCACTAGTCACAGCTTGGGTTAACTGTCAGGGAAGCTATTTTACAAAAGAGGTGACTCGCCCCTACAGACAACCGTGCTAAGGTCTCCGAGCCTGCACTCCACGAGGCTCCAGACCCTTGGTGTTCAGACTTTACAAAAATGACTCCATTCCATGTTGTGACAATGGTATCCTCTAAAAGCAATGAATGAATGAACCACGGTGGGAAGCGGTCTGGGATTACCGGCGCTGCCTGCCTCCCTGCCTCCCCAGGTAAGTTGCACAGCCCAAGGTGGTTAAGTTAAAGGCAGTCTCTTCCCCCGACCAGAGCTTCGGGCCGGCAGCTGGGAGACGCCAGCCGGTCTCCTGCTCCCTGTGGGTTTCTCGGGATTGGGATGGGGACTGGGCTGCAGGAAGCGCCCCGGTGGCCCGGCCGGGGCTCGGGCTGACCCTCGCCGCCTTCCTCCCACGCAGACACCAAGTTAGAAACCCAACTCCCCCACACAATGACAAGAAGGCACACAAAAGGAGCCAGGCGGCCGCTCCCATCCTTACCTTTGACTTGACTTTCATACTCGGCTATGATCTCTTTGTCCTTCTTGAATCTGCTCGGGGTGGACATTCTCCGGCTGTTCCGGGCTGGCTTGCGGTGGGCAAGTTCCGTTCAGTGGTCACGCAGCGGAGAGTGGGACCACCGCGGCCGAGAAGCCGAGGCGGCGCCGGCAGGAGGGAGGGGAGGGGAGGAGGAAGAGGAGGAGGAGGAGGAGGAGGAGAAGGAGGAGGAGGAGGAGGCACCCAGGAGCAAGCCGGGGACTAGATCAACCCGGGCGCTGGCACCATACTCTCGCGCTAGAGCCGCCGTGGGCGATCCCCCCCGGGGGCCCGGGGCTCGCGGCCGGAGAGGCCGGACGCGCGCGCGGTCCAACTCCGGCGAGCGCGTGGCGGGGGGCGTCTCCCTGCCCTCCCCACCCGGAGCCGGGCCACTTCCTCTACGAGCGCTGGGCGGACGCGGGGATCGCGCCGGCGCTCCACACCATTGTTAGAGACCCGCACGGGGCGCCCGGGGCAGGGCTAGTCGCGGAGGGCGGGCGCTCGACCCTCCCTTCCTGCCTCCAGCCGCCGGCTCCGGCGCTCAACGGTCCCGCCCGGGCTGGGGATGCTCCGCCGCCTGCAAACCCGGTTGCGATCGCCCCGGCAGGCGAAGGGAAACCGTGGTCCTGGAGCGAGTTCCCGCTGCTGACCCGCAGGGTGGCGGCTGCGACGTTCGAAGGCGCCCCGGGCGCAGCCCCCGCGGACTTCAGATCTCCGGAGCCGGCGCCGGGAGCGGCCTCTGCCTCCTTGGCCACGGGGCGCCGAGGCTGCCTCTTTTCTCCTCGTCCGCCTTTCCGCGGCTGCCCCCAGGAGGCCGCCGGGGACCAGCACACTCGCGCACGCACCCGGGGCAGCCGCGCCCCCGGCGGCAGCAAAGTTGACGCGCGCTCGGCCCGCGGCTCGCGGGCGCCCCAGCCAGCGTTCTGCGGGCGGCGGCGGCGGCCGCTCGGGGCTGCGCGAGGCGGGGCAGGGCTCGCGGGAGAGGCGGGCGGGAGGCCAGTGCCCTTCCCCGCCCTCGCCCCCGCCCGCTCGGCAAGGAAACGCCGGGCTCGTCTGGGAAGATGGATGCCTCTTGTGGCCAACCGCAGCCGGGCGCCGGGTCCGGGCGGCCGTGGGCGGCGCCCCTGCGCCTCCCTGTGCGGCGCGCGGAGGCCAGGATCGCTGCCCCCGGCAGCTGGAAAACCCCCCTCCTGGCCGAGGGTGGGCTCCTTGGCAGGGCGCCTTGCAGGATCCCGTGGAGAAGTCCAGAGCTGGACGTTGCCGTAACCTGGGAGACGGGGGCGGGGGCGGGGGGGGGGACCTCGAGGTGTCGGGCTCCCGTAGGAAAACCGAGCCTGGATTGTGTAGGATCCTGCTGTTTAGCACCGTAGAGGAGCCCGAAGGTTCTCCATCGAGGGCAGGAAGAACATCTATCAACCACACTCTGTGAGCCGGATTCGTCCAAGTGGTTGTGACCAAAGGCGTGTCCAGCACCCAAACGTTTTTCCCCCTGCGAGATCTTCAGAGATTTGTGGTCATTCATCCATGTATACAGTGGATACACCTTGGGAATGCTCCGTGCGGGCCAAACACCAAACAGCACTGTAGGGATTCAGAGATGGGGATTCGTAGTCTGTTGGATAAATAAGTAATTATTTTAAAAGATTTATTTATCTTTTTGAAAGGCAGAGTTGCAGAGGCAGAGAGAGAGAGAGATGTTTTCCATCCTCTGGTTCACTTCCCAAATGGCTACCAGGACCCAAATGGGAGCTTTTTACAGGTCTCCCACGTAGGTTCAGGGGCCCAAGCACCCAGGCCATCTTCTGCATTCCAGGCACATTAGAAGGGAGCTGCATTGAAAGTGGAGCAGCCTGGACTCAAACTGGCACCCGCATGGGATGCTGGCACTGCAGGCAGTGACTTTAACAGCTATGCCATAGCGCTGGCCCAATAAGTGTTTACAAGCAGTGCCGGGCTTGGGGAAGGGGAGTGAGAAGGACAAACGGACTGCACTTGTGTCAGGGCTTCGGGGGAGTCCAAGTCTGAACTGGGTGTAAAAGCTGAGGAATGAGCAGATGGCTGAGGATTAAGCAGGGAGGCAAAGGGTTGCATCCAGAGAGAAGGAGGAGCATCATACTCCGGGGAAATTGCAAACAGGCTGCAAGATGTCTTCCACAAAAGTATGGGGCCTGGAACTGAAGCTGACAAAAGGCATATGCATATGTTTGTATGTACACATATAAATTCATAGGCGGATATAGCATGTTGTGCCATCATCCCATACATAGAACAAATATAAAAACTTAAATTGAGCAATAAATACCACTATGATAATTTTGAAATACATATGGTGTTGAGAGGCCTGCCTGTGGCACTGCAGGTTGCGCCCCTGTCTCATACAGGCATCCAGTATCACAGCCATGGGCCAGTCATGGTTGCTCCGCTTCCAGTCGCCCTCCCTACTAATGCACATGGGAAAGCGGCAGAAGATAGCCCAAGAGTTTGGTTCCCTGCCACTCATGTGCGAGACCCAGATGAAGTTCCTTGTTCATGGGTTTGGCCTGGCTCACAACCCCTTGTTGTGACCATTTAGGGAGTGAACCGATGGTGGAAAACCTCTGTCTCCCTCTCACTCTTTCCCTCTGTTTGTTAGTCTACATTTCAAATAAATAAATAATTTTTAAAAAAATAAATTAAGATGTTAAAAGTATTCCCAGAGGCCAGCGCCGCGGCTCACTAGGCTAATCCTCCGCCTGTGGCGCTGGCACCCTGGGTTCTAGTCCCAGTTCGGGCGCCGGATTCTGTCCTGGTTGCTCCTCTTCCAGTCCAGCTCTCTGCTGTGGCCTGGGAAGGCAGTGGAGGATGGCCCAAGTGCTTGGGCCCTGCACCTGCAGGGGAGACCAGGAGGAAGCACCTGGCTCCTGGCTTCGGATCGGCGCAGCACGCCGGCCGTAGCGGCCATTTGGGGGTGAACCAACGGAAGGGAGACTTTTCTCTCTGTCTTTCACTGTCTAACTCTGCCTGTCAAAAAAAAAATATTCACAGAATCAAAAATTTGAGGGCTTAATGAATTTAATTACATGAGCTTTTAAACTGTAATTGTTATCAAGTATTTTTTTAATCTGTAACAACAGAATAGAATCAAAAGGGGGTAATTCCCCAATTAAAAATATATTTTTTAGCTTTTATGCACTTTACCCCACAGGAGGTTATATGCTGGCACCCCAGGATGCCCTGATTCCACCCAGCTCTGCTTTATGTAAGAGTGTACAGGGTGGAGCCAGAGTGTCCCGAGCTGGAGCTAGGAGAGGCGTGCTGTGCCATGCTAAGCCCCTGGACACAGTTCTGCAGACAGCAGGGAGCCTTTTAAGCAGAGAAGGATCATGGTCAGGTTGTGCTGTATAAATATAACTGTTGGCAGTGTGGAAGGATGGGCTAGCCGTGGGGGGAGAGAGCCTCTTGTCCCTGCTCTGGGACTCTAATTATGAACATCCCCTTTTCACTCATTCAGGAACTTGGAGGGAATGCCTTGGGGGTTCTAACGCAACAACAGCGAGATAGGAGACAATCTACTGCTATTAGAGGACTCCTCCTCCTAGGAGCTATGGCCGCTGCTACAACTTTGCTGAGAATCATAGACATAATAGTTATGGGATCTCCCTTAGAGTTTTGCCCCTTCTCGGTTAAAGCGCTCCTAAACTCTCAACATACTCAACATCTTTCAGGATCCTGGTCCTTTCTTCTCCAAATGCAACTACATTTCATTGCATTTCCTTAGATCCTGCACACAATCTGCTCCTGTCAGTTGAAGAACTATCTCGTGAGGGTGTATAAACACTTCCCTTTCCATCACTGACTCTGGTCTGGTTTCCCAGGCTCAATCTGCCCCACACAAAGAGCTCTGTCTCTTGTTCATGCCAAGGGGAAGAGGGGGGCAGCTAATACTCATATATATACAAGCAGCGGCTCATGACTCGGATGTACTTTGGAAATAGTGTGGGTTTCTGCCCTCAGGGAGAAATAAGATTAAAAATTCCTGTTTTCTAAGTGCGCTTTTAGATGCTATCGTATGACCAGTTGGCTATTATAAAAAATCCTTGGCGGTGCAAAACAAAACACAGATGAGCAACATAGTAACCATTTGGCTTGACCAAGCTGCTAAAGTAGCTGCCCTTCAATATTGCACTCACCTGCTTATGCTCTGCGCCACTCATGCAGCTACTGGAGACTTAAAAGAGATGGGCAGAGATGGAGAGCATAAAGCCTCCTCTGAGCCGCAGAGACGGATAGCCGACAAGTGCTCTCGTGACCCTTCTAGTGAACTCCGGTACGGACCGAAGGGTTGCCTCACCCCTTTAAATCCCACCCAGGAGATAGTTTTAAAACTACTCTATGAACACACTCATTATGGGGACTGGTAAGATCTTTGGAGGTGATGATATTTTTGGAAACCTTCCCCCTATTCTTGTATCTGAGGTACAGCAAAGACGTCTTGTCTGTCCCAAGTAGAACCCTGGACATCTCATACATTGCTTCATGGGGCACTTTCCTTTCCCTCCTAGGCTTCTTGCCATACCTCTCTCTGTAAGTCTACTTCTCAAATAAATTAATAAATCTTAAAAAAAATAAAAAAGATCAACCCTGAAATAAATGCAGATGACATCTGAGTGGACAGCTGTCTCAAGACACGAGACCCGGCAGGAATATGACTCAACCCTCATATTAGTCTTTATAGTGTCATAGAACCCTTTTTTCTTGTTACATAAGGCCTTTTTCTAAGATTTATTTTTTATTTTTTTGAAAGGCAGAGTTATACAGAGAGAGAGAGAGAGAGAGGTCTTCCATCTGATGGTTCACTCCACAAATGGCCACAACAGCACAGAGCTGGGCTAGGCCAAAGATAGGAGCCTGGAATTCCATCTGTGTCTAGGTGCAGGGGTCCAAGCACTTGAGCCATCTTCCACTGCTTTCTCAGGTGCATTAGGAAAGAACTGGATCAAAAGTAGAGCAGCTAGGACTCGAACCAGCACCCACATGGGATGCTGTTGCAGCAGCTTAACCTGTCAGGCCACAGTGTAGACCCCATTACATGTGGTTTTAAAGACCCATCAAACCACTCCTGGGGGTAGGGTGTTGTGGTGCAGTAGGTTAAGCATTCCATATTAGAAGGCCAGGTATCAAGTTCCTCTTCTACTTGCAATCCAGAGGCAGCAGATGATGGCTCAAGCACTTGGGTCCTTGTCACCCATATAGGAGACCCAGATGGAGTCCCTGACCACTGAATTTAGGCAGGCCTAGTTCCAGCTGTTGTAGGCATTTAAGGAATGAACCAGTAGATAGAAGATCTATTTCTTGGGCCGGCGCCGCGGCTCACTAGGCTAATCCTCCGCCTAGTGGCGCCGGCACACCAGGTTCTAGTCCCGGTCGGGGCGCCGGATTCTGTCCCGGTTGCCCCTCTTCCAGGCCAGCCCTCTGCTGTGGCCAGGGAGTGCAGTGGAGGATGGCCCAGGTGCTTGGGCCCTGCACCCCATGGGAGACCAGGAAAAGCACCTGGCTCCTGGCTCCTGCCATCGGATCAGTGCAGTGCGCCAGCCGCAGCGCGCTGGCCGCGGCGGCCATTGGAGGGTGAACCAACAGCAAAGGAAGACCTTTCTCTCTGTCTCTCTCACTGTCCACTCTGCCTGTCAAAAAAAAAAAAAAAGTATGAAAGTAAGAAGATCTATTTCTTTCTCTCTCTGTCTGCCATTCAAATATACAAACAATAAACATAAAGAAACATACAGG